AACGTAGGGGTGGTAATAAAGTTTTATTTCCATTTTTTAATTTATTCATGGTCGCAATGCCTCATTTTTTAAACTAAATATTTTGGTTCATCAAATATTACATCTTTTATAACCTTCAAAAAATCATAATGTTTTCCTCAAGATTTCTAAGATTCTAAAAAATTTGACAAAAATTGCTTCCTGTGCCTGAAATTTAATTTGCGAAAGATCATACTTTCAATTAGCCAAATTTTTGAACAAATTGTCCAATTATATGGCTCAAAATACAATTGTTGACGATTATATGGCAGAAGAAATTTTTTCAAAGGTTTTTGATTACATGGATATAGGAATGCAGTAATGATTTACATTATCCAGACAAAACGAATGAAATTTAAAATTTGAAACGTGGGCTTCTCAAATTGGGTTGCTTTAAACTAATAAAACGATGACGACAAAACTTACTAGGAGTTTCAGCAGAATTAGTATAATGCTTTTTGCTTTTAAATTTGGACCCAAAACTTTACGCCAAAAAAAGAAAATTTTTAGCTTTTTTTAGTCAATCAGAATTTACACCAAAACTACTCCTCGATCACTGACGCAATTACAATAAAGTGAGCCTCTTATGTAGCTCAACAAACTTTAAGAAAGGGGCATTCTCCAAAACATAGTACAAACTAATTTGTTTTTGTTTGATAGACAAAAAAGGTCGTTTTTACTAATTAAAACAACACTTTTTTACTTAAAAAACATTGAAAAACTATTTTAGGAAAATTTTGGTGAGCAAAATCTTCTTAAAGTTTGATGAACTACCTAAGAGGCTCCGTTTGATATAATTATGTCAGTGATCGGCCCAGTGTTTTGATGTAATTTTAGCTTGACTAAAAAAACTCAAAAATGATCCAATTTTGGTGTAAAATTTTACCGAGCTTCGCAAAACAAAAAGCATCATAGCAATTCTGCTGAAACTCTAAGCGTTCTTTTGGTCGCTCTGTACCTACAGTCAATCCAATTTGAGAAAAACGCGTGTTAATTTCTAGTTTATTGCGTTTTTTCCGGATAGTTTAATATTTCGGATATCGCTGTAGATTTTGTTGGAATAATAATGCGAAATAGTCTTTGTTGAACTAATCCAAATGATTGCTTTTACACTAAAAACAATTCTTAATTTGCTTACACACTATCGGTTTTACTGTTACTTAGATATTTTCGTTATTTTGCAAATTTTTTGATAAAATCTATTTGTATCCAAAAAAGCGGGCGTGCTAATTATTGATGATTGTTTGAATTATAAGTTGGATGGTTTTATCCCAGTCTTTGTCCAATTCCAACAAAATCTTCTTAACTGAATCGAAAGTTTCTATAGATTAATTAAACTTAATTTTTTGTGCTTTCTGTACAGAAACTATTTATTTTTCATGTAAATTATGAAAAAATAGCCTAAAACTATTTCCCAGATCAATCAAAAGGAGATAAGTGTTCAATCAACATGCTCGTAGCAACACAATGCAAACTAGCACTTATTTTGTTTCTGCTTTAGGTTGCTACAGCTAAGTAATCCTCAAGTTACGTGGCCTAGTGTTTAACGCTGCTTTCTAGCTAAAGATGAAATTGGTTTCAATTTACTAATTCTAGCAAAAATTTTGTTGAACAACAAGCTTTGGACAACTTAGATTAACCCAGGCTGTAACTCAAAATATAACTTTTCCTGCTTGCAAAAAAAAGTGATAGAAAAGTTCCAAAAAGAAGGAAAATTTCTAATACTTTCTAGGAAAATTTGCAAGGGTTACAACGAAGTGTTGTGGTAAGCGCGAAGCACTGAGCATATATTTGTATTTCGACTTCCGAAGAAAGGGTGGAATATTTGTGCTCGGTGCTTCTTCAGACAATCTTTGAATTTTTATTAGGGCTTTTTTCAATAGATTTTTTTGCAATCTGTAAAATATTGATTCACTATACTCGTGTTGAAAAAAAATTAGCTGATTACTGTGAAATTAGCTCCGAATGTTTCGACCATAGTTTTCAAAAAACTACAAAATTAGTGATAAATTTTTAATTTAATTAGTGTCTTTTTCTGCGTGCCATGATAAAAAAATCTGACGTAAAATATAGATTAGCTGGACGCTAAATACTTTACTTTGTTTTTTTTTTGCAGCGTATGAGCGTGTGCGGGAATATTTTTTACAAAAAAAAACTATCTAAAAATTGGCTCAATTTTTTTTGAATGTTTCTTTTTTTAGAGTTTTCTTTAAAAGTCCTCCTATTTTTTTTATTCCTTGGTTGTTTTCAAGGGGCAGTTGAAACATCCAGGGCTTTACCTTGATTCAAACAGCCTTGATTCTATTGAGTTCTGAGGATTTGTTTAACACGGTTGATTGGTTGCTGGCAAATAATTCTGAAGTGTGCGATCATATATTTTTGACAAAAAAATTATATAAAATACGGAAGATTTTTCTAGTGAGAAATTTTTCTTACAGCAGCTTCTAAACTTGGAACTCTAAAGGATCGGCCAAAAAATTTATGACACTCTGGTGACTTAAAAGCCACGACTGCTCCAAGATTTTTCAAAATTAATTTTTTTTTATGAAAAAAAATCGATAGTTTTTCGACTATATCAGAGTGAAGCCCTGATTCATATGTCTGCTCTTTAAAATATCCCCGGTAAGTTTTCTGGGATAACTAAATTGAAGTGATTTGTTAGCCGGATTAACTACGGCGTTTAATACGCGCTGTTAGTAAACTGGCAATTTTCGAACTCAAATAGTTTGAGCTCATGGTCCTAAATGAAATTAGTGTTTAATGTTTTGAAAAGGCTAATGATGACGTCGAATTGAGTAAACTTGAAGAATTGTTATCAACAGATTGTTGCTAAAATCCGTTTTCAAAACCAAATTTGAGCGTTGATTGGCATTTACTTTTATCTTGACCCTTGCCAAAATTGATGGTAAAATTCAGCGTGAAAATTGTTTTCCACCATTTTTGAAAACACATTTTTTAAGGTATTTAGCGTCTTTAAATACTGTCCTTGAGCTTTTCGTTGCTGAAAAACTTAAATGAAATTTTCTGAAAACAACTTGTTTTCGTTTTCTCTCCACAAACTTTTCAGGTAGACTCAGAATTATGTTAAATAGTGCTAAATCTTGCGTCTTAATCGGAAAACTTAGCTAGCTTTTATTCATCGAAGAAAGGTTTCTGACGTGAAATTTTCAAATGTTTTTGCCTTAATTAATTACTGAGGAGACCTAGTTTTTCCCAACATATTTCATTTTTTGGTGTTTTCTTTTTTGGTGTTTTACTTTTCTGATTGCATTATTTTGCAAGTAATGCAAGTCTCCGCTTTGCCTCTCAGTAATTTTATGTTCGTAATTTTAATTTTCGGTCGCAAGTGCAAAAGCCTTCATTTTGATTTATTTATTTTTCATTAATGTATTTTTATAAACCAATTTTGCCGAAGTATTCTAAAAGCTTAAATATGGTGGAAGCATATTTCAATTCACAGTCTAGAAGAAAAGTTATTTGGATTTGTTATAAAAAAAACTTCCATTGCAATTATAACCGTGGTGAATGTTTCATGCATCTTCATGAACACTTTTTTTCTTCAATTGTGGACTAACAAAATTTCTCGATCTGAAATAGAACCATTTTTTTGCAGTTGATTCACTTGTTCATTCTCATATCGTAATATTGAGATAATTTTCAAAGAATTAAGCTAGTAGCTTCAGATTAAAATAAGTAATCTATCAAACTATTTTTTATTATCAAAAAAACTTACTGACTATTTTATGACTCATGACTCATTCAATATAAAATTTTGAGCAACACAAAAGCGTTTCATCGTTACTTTTCAAGAAATCTAATTGAGGAAACAAATATATCAGATCCAAATTTTTTATCAACAGTTTATCTTTCATGAGTGAGTGAACTGCTGTGCTGTGGTCCTATTTTCATTCCGTTGCTCCTCGAAGGCTTGAAAAACTAGAATAGTTTTCGCTGGTAGATGGAAAAACTACAGCTGTACTGGTTTATTATTTAATTATACAGTTAAATCAAGGTTGTTTTCTATTTCAAAAAATTGTTTTTATTCCGCTACACGTGTTTCCAAAACTGTTGTTTGGCTGAAATTTTTTTAAAAAAATTTGAAGAAAAAAATTAATATTCTCGCCACTCCTATTAAATAAATAAATAAGTTAAATTCCAGCAAAATAACAAGCCTCATAAAAAATTTAGCATCACATTTTTTACAACAAATAGGTTCAAATGAAGCTACCAACTCTACCTAGGATCAGCCACAAGCATGTGCCCTCACGACGCTGACCTTAATGTCTGGGTATCACAAACACTTTTTTTTTCTTTCCGAAGAAAAACCAAATCAGATGGCGAATGATATGTTATAATAATTTGATATTTTTAACCGTTAAACTCAATTTATTTGGCGAATGATATGTTATAATAATTAGATGGCGAATGATAAGTTATAATAATTTGATATTTTTAACCGTTAGACTCAGTTTATTGTACCGTCTAATTTGAAGTCCCTCAGTATCAGCTCTGGTAGCAGTGTTCGATTTGTTACCATGACATTGATCATATTAGTTGGCAAAACAAACACGAGATCTTAGTTTTGCCAAAATTGCACTTGCAAAATTGTTTTCTTCTTTGATAATTTTATCGGGGTTTCTTTTTTGGGTATATTTCCTGAGTTTCTTTTTCGATAAATTTTACCATGTCGCTCTTTGGCTGATTGTTCCTAAAAAAGTGGGCACTAATTTGCGGTAAATTTCAAGGAGGCATGCGGCGACTCAACTCATTTTTTGGGTTGCATTGCAGCTGTCCACTAATTGCTTTAAATAAATGTTCAGGTAAAATTTCTGGAATTTATTACTGCTACGTGAAAGATTTTTGTGATGTTAAGGTTTTCATAAGTTTTTAGAGTTCAAAAAATCAGAGAGCTTAAGAATTGACGTAAAATAAATTGGATATTGGGATACCCTATCTAGGCCTTTCTAGCTTATGTTTTGCAGGGCAGTTTTATCGCAACATTTGGCAGTTTGGCATTTGCCTGCTCACTGGTGCGCCCCTGGATCCAGAGGGAAGCATGAGTCTGGCAAGGCACGTGGGAGCCATCATGCACTCCAGAGAGTACTTCGAGGGTCAGAAGCAGTTCTACGAGATCAGCAACACCAACAAACACGAGGACTTCGACATTGCTTACACCAAGTATATAAACAAAAGAAAAAAAAGATTACTGTAGCACAGAATGCGGCGGACCACAATTTTTTTTTGGAATAAACTTGTGGTAATTCAATGAAGTAAAGAAACGAAAACTAATCTTCATTGGAAAAATATTTAAAAAATATTTTCAGTTTCGCATTTTCAGATTCAGCCGGTTATGCGTTTTAAACAGCTTCAAAATCTAGAATTTTACAGCTCCAAATTTTATTTTCAGGTCCAAAACTATCTTTGACAGCTTTTTTTAACGTTTTTTTTTGCGAATCGCTTGCTTTACTTGCACCAAATTCGGCTGAAAAGCAAAAATTTCCGACTGGTTTTTATCGTCACTGAAAAACTTTTTTGATTTTTTAAGCCTTGGTTGAATCACAATTGAAAAGTCTTTAAAATGACCTCTGAACTTTACATGTGGTACCTGTTTTTGCGTAGAAAAGGGTAGAAAGTGTTTTCAAAGTGCCGCCAATTACAACGTTCCTCTCCCCTTTCAGTGGCGGAACACTAAATTTCTGAACTTTTTTTCAGATAAAAATAATTAGTAAGAGCAGTAAATGGCAATTTAATTTTAAAGGACGAAATAATGCTCCAAGGTACTTCGAAACATAAATTTTTCATGAATTTGTTAAGATTGATGAAATGCTCTTTGCAATTAATTCTGCCTCTCCTTTTGAAGAACTCTTCTAATAAAACGTTTTAGTATTACCTAAAAAGTTTTTTTGACTCCCTAACTTATCGAGGGCAAGCATATTGAACTGCTCTTAAATAGGCATGGCTGCAGGTTTGAGGTCGAGCTTTTCACTTTTTACAAAAAAATCATCTAACTACCCAAAGTAACCACCTCTTATATTTGGTGTCAGCTTAGTTCATCCCTTTCTGGCCCAGCAAGTTTCAAACGCGCTATGTGGCCTTTTTATGTGCCCCTGGAAAGTTAGCTGTTTTCGGTATTTATGGAAGGTTATGTTATGATTTACGAGGGCTAGATCTAAAATTCATAGGACACACAAAGGTTTTTCCCGTAACATAACGAAAGAGCACAAATGGATTGGTAATTTAATGCCATTAATAATAAGTAAAAGATTGATAATTTTTATGAATGATCACTATGATGCATAACTTTTGAAATAAAGTTTCGTTTTAGTCAAGAGAGAGATCAAAAAAACTGAAAATTTTTTGACGAAACTTTCTGATAGGTTGTCACATGTGGATTGTTGTCAAACAGTGATATTACATTTCATTTGGAGCTCAATCCTTTTTCTCTAGAGTTAAGAAGGAGTTATAGCGTAGTGTGTGTTTTTCTCCGATTTTGATTTTTCAGAAAAAAAATTGCAAGGGATATCATACAAACACCTTTTCCGTCGTGATTCGGATTCAACGGTCTCTCACTGTCGAGACAAATTGGTCCAATTTTTTGGTTATTTAAGTCAATTTAGAGAAACTTTGGTCAGTGTTCTATAAATTGTTTTTGTTTGTTTTTAGTTAACCAGCCAGAAGCCTGAACTCGACGATTAATTATTTAAGGTTAACTCAGCTATGGATAACTTACAAGTGGTCACCTTGTAAACTGCAGCGCACGTGAAATTTAAATTCGCCATTGCATGATTACTGGGACCATTACTACCGATGCGCCACAACGCCTACCGATGCGCGCGTTTTTCTCAATACAACCATTGATACAAGCGCCCTTAACATTTTTACTCAGATAAATATATTCAGAATACTCTATGTCACCTGCAAAGCAACCAGCCAAGCAATCTTTTTTTCATCTCTTCAACTTTTCGTTCCCGGGTCAAGGTTTGCAATTTGTGCTTCGACCGACTCGACCAAAATTTGGTGTGTTTCGACCGTCTTGACTTGATTTGAAAAAATGAGAAAAACCTTTTTTTTAAATAGAAACAATTATTTCAGACAAGAGTTTAGTTTTTTACTCCGGTTACTAGCGGAGAGTTTTTCATGAAGCTTTGCCATATCGAAATAGGTTTGTTGGTTCGACAAAGTAACTGTAACATTTGGTAACTGTAAAACTTTTAACTGTAACATTTGGTAAGCGCCGGAAGATATCTATCTGGGTTGCATTCTCTACTTGAATGAAAAGTAGCCGTGGAAAAAAATCCTGAAAAGAAAACAAATTTTGAGTACGGGAATTAACATGACCCGAAATACTCAATCTGACCTGTGAATATGTATGAATTATTGCGAACTTTTGTCTTGACCAACTCGAATTTTTGAGCTTTCCAAAAAATCATTACACAAAAAATTTTACATTTTTTTTTGAAAAATCAGAACATTAATATCTGATCATTTTAAACCTCGTTTCAAGCCTTCAACCTAGTTTGCAAGGACCTCAAACCACTTCCTCTTTAAACTGATCCTAAAACATTCAACATTTTTTTACAGAGATTGATTTGCAACTTGCGGCCGAATTCAAAAAATCCCGAAAACTGAAAGTGTTGCCAAAAGAACTTACAAACAAAAAAGATACCTTAAAAAGAAAAACTGTAGTGGTCATACAAATCATTTTAAATAAAATTCTGAACTATGCTGTACATGCTGTCAGTCAAGTTTTGACCTAAATTTTTAATAAACGTTTAATAAACGGCTACTTCCCAAACACTTCAAATTGGCAAAAGCTGTCCCAATTCATAAAGTCGAAAAAAATGTGATAATTACAGTCCAATTGCAATTTTTTGGGTCAAATTTTGACCAGATCAGAAGTATAACAGTTAATGGAAATGGGAATGAAAAACGAAAACTAAATTTTGTTTCGAATTAAATTACTCGTTAAAACGCGAATTGTCTTTCCACAAAATTTTCATGTAACAAATCATATTTATGAACAATTTTCTTCTTGGGAGCCCTTCAAAAAGTTTTGAACAGAACGTTTCGTTACTTCCCTCAAGTATCTCCCCTCAAGTGACTATTCCTGAGCTCAGTACTCTGAAATGGAGGTTTGCTATTTTTTTGCTCAAGCTTTCAATCAAATGTACCTAAAATTATTATGGAAATTTTCACACATTTATGTTCCGAAATTGAGTTAAGCTTTTTTTCGAATAACTCAACTCGACCTTTTGTTTCGACTTTTGTTCATTTTTTTTGTTTTAAACTTTATGTTTCGACCGATTCAACTTTATAACACAACTTTTCAGTTAACTAGTATAAAAATTAGTTTCACTCTAGTTGAAGTAGTTCTGGAAACATCATTTAGCGCTATACAAAAGAACTTGCGCTATACATTCTGCAAAAAATTGGAAAAAGTATCAATCCTATTTTTTCTGAAATATAATATTTTCATTTTCTGGTTTAGGTTTTTTGACTTTAACTGTTGTCGATTCAAAAAATTTCCGCAATGTATAGTTGTATCATCACACCACAAATGCATCATTAAATTAAAAAACGAAAAATTAAAAAATGTTTTGTATTATTGTGGTCGGAAGTTTCTGTGCTACTTAGATCAATTTTTACCCATTTTTTTGCGACGCACCATGACTATGACTTTGAAAATTTGAAGTTAAAAAGTCAAAATAATTTGTTAAGCTATAGAATTTGTCATTGATGACTACTTTGTTTTGCAATTATTGATAAAAGCATTCGAAAATTTCCATTCAACGGTTTCATCAGTCAGAAGAGATTATGAGAAAAAGACTCGTCAAAAGTTATATCAGCAGGTATACATTTTTTTCTTACTCTGCTCACAAATATGATTCTCCCTTTTTTGGGCACACTTCATTTCACCATTCAGGTGTCCCGCTTGTTGAATAGTACTACTCTTCGGGAAACCGTGCGGTCAAATTTAATAATTGAAAATTTTGTATTGTACGGTAAATTAATTCTGTACGGTAAATTGTACGGTAAAACTTCAAACTTCAACTATTGACCTTAAATTGCTTTTTCTTTTCTAGGCAAGCACTATTACTTTCTAAGGGAAGACGGGGCGTCGGCCCGCTTCAGCCTTCCTATTCCCATAAAACCACCACTGTCTGTGTTGATAGTTATCAAAATAATAGGTTGCAAGCACCATGTACCGACCTAAATTTTCAGGCGGGTAGATTAAAAAAAATTGATTTGGAATCTCTCTTTTTGTTCAGTTTTTATTGGTCAACCAAGTTGCTTTTGAAAACTCTCCCAAAATGCTATCAGCACGTCCTTCAAACTTTTCTCATTGTGTCAGAAACTCTTTTTTGGACACCTTTTGGGTGGCTGTGACCGAAAAATAGCATAAAGACAAGTTAAGCTCATATTAAGGCCTTCAGAGAAATTTGAGATCTGGTCAAAAATTATCGTCGTACCGTAACCGATAGTGGAGACTAAATTAAAGTACTCAGAGTTAGAATTTTTCTCTGGATATTTAATAACATTGTAATCCGTTTTAATCGATCAGCCATTGATTGTTTTAGGTATTTTTTGAGACAAAATATGGCATAATATTGAAATTGAGTACAATCCGTGAATATCCGGTTCTGGAGCTTCTGTCCTGTTTAAGTGCATATTTGGGACTGCACACTGACAATCCAGATTTCGAGCAGCCGGGTAGTCTGGTCACTCTGCAGCCGGTGCAGCCAGCCGAGAAAGGAGGACATTCGACACTCGTAGACTCCTTCCGAGCAGCTGAAGTTCTTCGACGTATGGACCCACATGCGTTCAGGTAAAAGAAAAGCGGCGAGCACCTGCGGATTTAGAGGGTGGGGGAGAGGGGGGGGGGGGTTATGCGTTTGAACTCCTGCCGACCTAAAGGGTCCCCCTTTGTACTATTTTGAGATATCCATTTTTGGCTGACTGACCCTAAAATTTTTCCTTAAAGGCGCCTTCTAAAAAACGCAATTTATTTCTCAAAACTTTCCAAAAAGTGCCTAAAAACGCCTTTTTTGGCCTGTTTTTTCAAATTTTGCGGCGCAGAAAATTTGGTCAAAATGGGGTCTTTATAGTGATTGGGGAGAGTTCGAAAAAAGGTCAACAAAGTTTTCGATTTTTTTTAAATAATAACGCACCCCCCCACCTCGAGAAAGTCCTACATCCGCCCCTGGCGGTGAACCACGTTTCTTATTGACCTTTTTATTGGTTACCGATTATACTAAAGGTAAACCACGCAACACTCGACTTTATTAGTTTCATTTTAAAAATACAATATGGGTATCCAATTATTTCAAATGAGCTTAAATTACGTCTTTGTTATTTTTTTGTAGGACCAAGTAAAAGATAAGGTCTACAAATAAGGTCTCCATCTGTCTCACCCCTCCCCTAAAATCGGAATACAAACTTCATTTGGTTATATAATTTTTTGTTAATTTCTCAGCTTAAGCAAATCCTGTTTTTTTTTGCGAAAAACTATTAACGAAAAACTCTGGGAAAGGTAATGGGATTTGGCATTGAGCCAAAGTTCAGAAAAGTGAAATCGAATTTTCTTAATAATATTGTTTCTGAAACTTTTTCCAGCGTTTTTGAATTTCGATTTTTCTTAAGAGTCTTAAGCCATTACGAGGTCAAACTGTGCTCTGGATAGGCGCACCATTTGAAGCGTGTAGGTCACTCGAACCAAGAGACAAGTATTTAATCATGTTAATTTTTTTCCCTACAGCTCCGTAATATTTTATGTGAGATAATACTTTGATACAATTCTCATACATCTATATATTTTAAAAATATTTTATTTATTTACGAATTTAAACTCGAAGAAACCATGGTAGCTCAACCTATTTTCCAGGCATAAAACATTTTTGACATACAAAATTGATAAAAAATATTCGAGATAATATTGTTTTTTGGAAATGATATTATTTTTCAAGACAATATTGAAATTTACAAAATTGTCTTGACTGCTCTAGAAAAGCATACAACTCAGTCTTGGAATCAATTTGACTTAAAGATTTTAAAACCTTAAAATATTCCGATGATTTTCAATTTGTTCTGTTTTCACTCTGTCAGATCAAAAAATTTGTTTTTAACGGTAATGAAAGTTTGTGCTAATATCACCCAATAAATCGCCAAAGACCATCAAATCGTTTTTTACCATCTTTTAAAAGTTAGGTGGTTTTGTCATATTACTGCTTGTGACATTTGTTTTTGCAAACAGTTTTATACCATGATCAATTCTTTTGAAGGTTTGTTTTGAACGTTTGTTTTGATGGAACTGATTTGTGGTTGATGGAAAATTAACAACATTATAAAACAATAAACTACCAGTCGTACGATCCAATTGTACAATTTAAGAAACAGTAATTGAAATCAAAAACACTTTGGAAAAATAGCTTCGATAGCGTGAACAAAAAATCCGAGTTTTGCACAAACCACTCTTTCAATTGATTGAAAATTGTTCATTTCATTATGTTCATTTTTTTAAAATAAAACTATTATAATATTGGTTTTAATCAATTATAAAGCTACCCTGAATGGTTGATTCTGATCACAATCAAATAACAAAAGCTCGTGAATTAAAATTCGATTAAAATTAAAAGCAGAAAGCAGTGGTTCAAACATTTTTCTCAAAATTTTATTGCCCAAATTCCAGCATCAAACAAACCAAATTAGCATAACTCCTGCAGATTCGGTAGTTCCAATGCAAAATCAAAACATTCATTCATCTTGCATGTGCAACCTCTAAAAAGGCCCCAAATGTTGAATGGGCATTACGAAATGAAAGTTTTTTGAATTACGGTGAGCGATTTTAGATTTAGAACCTCAAACTAAGGTATTTTTTATTCCGCTACTCCTTCTCTTTTACTTTTCAGCGATGGCTCAATAGTTGGTCGTTTGGGTATGGCAAAATCCCCAACATCCGTAAATTGATGATTAAAAGATCATTTTTAACTTCACAAAAAGAAAACATAACAACTTGATTTCTCTTGAATTTATACCAATTACTTTTTGACAACGCTTTGTCTTTTCACTTGGCCTGTGATGTTATTGAAGTGTGCTGGGCAGTAGACTTAAACATTACATCGTCAGTAGTGGTTGGACACAACATTCCGGGTCGAGGTCCGCTACTTTGTCGATCGCGCCGACGTTAACTCCCCAACTCAAAATCCATAGTCTGGACACGTTATGAGTCGCGGAGAAAGTCTGGGAGTACCGCATTTGGTCGCGATGGTCGAAAAAATAGTTGCCGCATGGTCCAAAAACAAAACGCGGCCTGGTCGTAAAAATAAGTCGCCTTAAGACTTTGGGTGGGAGCCGAACTCGCGACTAACCCTACCAAGCTAGCTATGCTTTTTTACTCTGAGATATTGGAACTTGTTCCCTAGTTAGATCAAGCTGCTAATTTGGAGCAGTCACAATCGGAGAAAAAAAGATGTGGGATGGTCAAAAAAACAGTAGAGGCATTGTCACAAAAATAGTCACAGCAAGGTCGAAAAAAATAGCCGTGGCATTGTCAAAAAAGTAGTCACGGCGCGGTCAAAAAATTAATCGCTGCTTGCCGAAAAATTACTGGCAAAATAGTCGAAAAATATGTCACGGCTTGATCGAAAAACAACTCGCGGCTTGGCTGAGAATATTAGTCACATCAGGTTGAAAATTAAAACAAACGTAGTTAAAAAAATATTCGCGGTATTTTCGAAATTTTAGTCGAAGCGTAGTCAAATTAGATACTGCATGCTCCAAAAAATATTCAGTGGCATGGTCAGAAATTTAGTGGCGTCATGATTGCAGCACTAGTTGCGGCGTGGTCAAAATAATAGTCGCTGCATGATCAAAAGTTAGTCACGGCATGGTTGAAAAAATAGTAGCGGATTGGTCGAAAAAATAGTCGCGTGATGTTCAGAAAATAAATCGCGACATGGTAGAATTCAATGTCGCAGTACATTCGAAAAAATAGTCGCAGCGTGCTGAAAATTAATCGCGGCATGGTCAAAAAGACATTCACGGCATGGTCAAAAAGACATTCGCGGCATGGTCTAAAGTAAGTCGCGTCATTGTCGAAAAAATAGTCGCCTCAAGATCAAAAAACTAGTCGAGGTGTGGTCAAAAAACTAGATCGGCATGATTGAAACTTAATTCGCGGAGTGGAATAAAAACTATTAACAGCAAGGCCAAAAAATGGTTGCGGCATGGTTGAAAAATTAATCGCGCATGGTTGAAAACCACTAGCGGCGTGGTTGAAAGTTTAGTCGTGGCATGGTGGAAAAATTAGTCAATGCATGATTGAATTTAGATACTGCGTGGTCCAAAATGTAGTCAAGGACTAAGTCAAGAAAATAGAGGGCGTAGGTCAAGAAAATAGTTACGGCGTTTTCAAAAAATAGACAGGGCATGGTCGAAAATGAGTCGCGGCATGGTCAAAAAGTTAATCGCATCATGCTTGAAAAATAGTGGCGGCATAGTAAAAAAATTCATCGCGGCTCGCTTGAAAAACTAATCAAGGCATGGTTGAAAAAATTAGTCACGGAATGGTCAAAAACTATTCGCGGCTTGTTTGAGAAAAAGATGCGGTGTGGTCAAAAAGTCAATCGCGTCATGGTCAAACAATCAGTCCCGGCGTTGCTGGAAGTTAAGTCTTGATCCAAAAATTAGTCGCGGCGTGGTCGAAAAATCAATCGCGGCTTGGTTGAAAATTTATTCGAGGCTTGATAGAACCATTAGTCAATGCATGATCGAAATTAGTTACTGCATGGTCCAAAAATTAATCAGGGCATGGTCAAAAAATTTGTCGAGGCATTGTCAAAAATTAGTCTGGGCACTGTCAAAAATTAGTCAGGTCGCGGCGTAATTGAAAAATTTGGTCGCGGCGTAATTGAAAAATTAGTCCAGTCTTGTTCGAAAACTTATTCGTGGCTGGCTCGAAAAATAAGTCTGGTTCTTTTTCGAAAAAAGTAGTCTTGGTTGGTAATAAAACTTAGTCCGGGCATGGTTGAAAAAATAGTCGCGAGAGGGTCGAAAATTTGTTGCGGCGTGTTCGAATAATTAGTCAGGGCGTGGTCAAAAAATTAGTAGCGGCATAGACAACAAAAATTTACTCGCCAAAAAAATAAATAACAATCATCAAACAAACTGCCCGGGCTGACCAAATCTGCAACCATACGTCGCACAATGTTTGGTTCCATAGAAGCCATGGAAAATTGCCGACGTAATTTTACATTCAAATAACACGTTTTTAATGCATGGCGCGACGTATGGTTGCACATTTGCTTCATTATGGGGATTTCAATTTAGACAGTTTTGATACTTTTATTATAGCTGTTGAGAAATTATATGTCACCATGGATGCTTGCAATGCATGGTTACGATGGTATCCTGTATGGAGTGGCGTATAGATACCATGCAAACATATATAGTGCGACTTATGGTTACCATGGAAACGTATATGGCGCAACATATGGCAACAAGAAACCATATATGGTAATTCTCTGGGGCTTCCAATAACTACTCTGAGTGACTTCGAAGATGTTGGTAGTAAAACTTTTTTTTCCGCCATTCAGAACAAAGAATTAATTGCATCCCGAGCAAAGCCAACTATTATCCAATATAGAAAAATTTACCTGATGACGCCGGAAAAATATATCTGGTGACGGTTGAGTAATTTTCGTAAAACTCTCTAAGAAACAAACAATTCAGAAATACGAAACTTGATTAATTTATTTTATAACTCTATGATCTGTAACTTAAATACATAGCAAAGCAGAGCTTCTCATCGCCTGCCCAACAACGAAATCGTAACATTGCACGCAAACAAATATAAAACACAAAGGCGAAGCTGTACATGTGCAAGTTGTACTCCTATTGAACGTATTTTTGTCTAGCCTTTCATTCAGAATTTTTCATATACAAGCGAACAAAAACATTACAGATTGCATAAAAAATGTGTTTTCTTTTAAGTTTTTTGTGGCCGGAACATTCTTTTTGTCTTCTTTTTTTTCTAGAATTTTGTCGACTTGGCCGGTGAATCATCGTCTGCAGAACTACATGTGTGTAACGCCCATCATTGAGCTGCATGATCCTCTCCTTTCAAGCTACATTGACTACGGAACTGTAGTGAAGAGGGTCAAATTCTCAGAGATGAACCGGTCGCCATGGCAACCGATGATAGCTCAGCATGACATGAAAGGGATCCGTTTATTTTTGGGCGCCGCTAATTCAATTATCTTTAGTCTTTAAAAAAGTTCATATGCTAATAAGGCTTAGCATAAAAATTATAGCATAATTAATCTTGAAAATTAACTATAAAATATGAGCGCGGTTACTCAAAATTTTTTACACCTTTCGGATACTTCAGTTTTCTTGAAAAAACCTGGTTCCAGAATTCACATGGCCCCAGAACCTGGCTCCAACTTCGCGTGGCCGTTTTTGGTCGCGACATACGTTAAGAACCTTCTCGCGAATAAAAAAGGCTCAAAATTCAAACTACAGTTAAACCTGATTAATAAAAAAATGAAAAACAACATTAAATTGGGCTGAAATCAAGAGAAGAGCAAAAATCATGCAAAGAGCTAACAATTTAACTGATCCCTTGAAAGATTGGTATACGGCACTTCGCAAGTTCATGAAAATTGTCTACTCAAAAGAAAGGTAGGTCCACATGATGTTTCAATGCTTCAATTTATCTCAGTTGCTTTCAGCGTTTTCAAAAACAAACAAGACTGCCTCGTATCAGGTGGAAGCCCTGATTGTTCCGACTGCACTTTAAGGCTGATTTAAAAGTTTTTTCGGTTGGAAATTGACCAGCGAAGCGAAAAAAAGTTGTAGTTTTTTTCTTTTTCTTAATTTATCCACCACACGCAAATGTAAGTTACAAAGGAATGTATTAAGCGTCTTTTATCTTAATAAAACGACCAAATTGAGTTAGGACCGAGTTGGTTAACTCATAGAGTAATTTCGGATAGGGTACACCGTCTGCTCGTCACGCTATCTTATTTTCGGCCGGATAGATTCGTGCAACTTCTTAGTCTAATACCGATCCTAATCTTACTCTTATACTATCTAGTCTCAGGTTGTTTAACTAGTCTCTGCTAGGCTCAATAGATCTAGGGTATACTGGTTTATTGCGGCTGCTGAAGTGCTCAGGAGAGTCCAACTAATTTCTAAGTTAAATTCAAATCTCTCTGGTGCTGAAATTACAAGTAACTTCAGCACTTACAAATAAGTGGGTTGTTAGTTAGATGGATCATGATTGGTTAATATTAAATACTTTACATTGGTAAAACATTTAATTTATCCAATCATAAAATGTAGTTTAGATCAGGTTCCACCCATCCGGGTTTTACAGAGTTTTTTAGAATAGTTCTTCTGCAATTCGAAGGATGGATGATGGACGTTGGTGTTTGGCGAACATCTTATTTCTTCTGTTTTCTTTTTGTTAAAGAAGTTCCAGGAAGCTGGAGTTAGAGACATAAGACGTTGAGTCTTCTAGTGACAACGACT